CACACAGGTGCTATTTCATAATGGCATTCAAGCATCCTTATGAAAAGAGGTTATTATATGGTGAGAAAGGTCTTCCAGCCAACAACCATGTGAGTAAGCCCCACTGGAAGAAAATCTCAAGCCTTCAGATAACAGCATTACCTGCCAACATATCTATATATATATATATATATTCATAGTAAAAAATACACAGTGCAAAACTTGCCATTTTTAATTGTAACATCTGATGTCACTAATCATACAATGTTGCTGTGCAACCAACATTCCAAACAGAAACTGTTCTCATTACGATATATTCCATCTCCATACCTCCCTGCAAGTTCATGACAACTACTATCTCTAGGCAGTTCTAATATAATGAGATAAAATATTTGGTGTTTCTGTGTGTGTCATCGTGTTTTCCCCCCTCCCCCAGTTAAGCATGATGTTTTCAGGTTCATTTGTTTTAGAGCATCTATTAGGATTTCTTTCCTTTTTATGCTAGCCACGATCTTGACTCCAATCTTGAGACCTCAGCCAGAAGTGCCCAACGAAGTAATTTCTGAATTCCCGATCTACAGGAACTATGTGAGGTGTCATTTTTATGTCAGTAAGTTTGGGAAATTTTACAGCAATATATAACTAATATATTTGTACTTTCAGGAATGCTAGCAGTAAAAAAAAATAGGGTAAAGGCATAATTGACACTGAAACATTCTTGCAATCCAGTCATACACGGCCTTTACTTTTCCTCTTAGGTAACAAGCGCCTTCCAACATCAGTGCTTTGGGACATTGTTCCCTCAGCCAATTACTTAGGCCCGTGGTTCTCAACCTTCCTCATGCTGCGACCCTTTCATACAGGCCCTCATGTTGTGGGGACCCCAACCATAACGTTATTTTTGTTGCTACTTCATAACTGTAATTTTGCTACTGTTATGAATCGGGCAACCCCTGGAAAGGGTCATTCGGCCCTCAAAGGGGTTCTGACCCACAGGTTGAGAACCACTGATTTAAGACATTTCCTCTTTATTTCATTACTTGTCAGACTTATTTCTAGTTGCCTTTAAATATCAGTTAATTTATTAATTGATTTATTCAACAATCATATAGTAAGTTTTAGTCAGTTTCAGGCCCTAGAAAAAACCTGCAGGGAGCAAAATCTTTACTTACCTCCTGCAGCTAAACCTACTGAGAGGTTCCCACATTTGTCTGGCCTAAGTTAGGTTCACCCTTCCTTATCACTTATTAAAACTCTTTGTATTTAACAAGTGTACTTATCACAATTTAATGAAGTATTTAATGTCTAGCGTCTTTATTGGACTGTAACTAAATGAGTACAAAATAGTATCAGGCATCTAGTAGCAGCTCAATAAACATTTTCTCAGGCGCTTCTTGAATTTTGAGCTCACTCTATTTTAGAACTCGCAATTAAAATCCAGTTTCTACAAAATATTAGCTATTATTTGCAAACAAGTTTGAATAAAAAGACTTACATTTTAAGATGAATTAATTTACTAACTTATTTAAATTATGTGAGCCATGTGGTAGGGAAAGAAAAAAGGGTAACTTTTCTTTAATGTAAATGATCTGGAAAAATTCCTTGTAAATGAATCAAATATGTGTACACACACACACACCAAAAAACGTGTATGCATGGAATAAACCAGGGCACGTATAAAATGGACTTGTTAGTGCCATCGAGTCAGTTCTGACACAATATTTTGCACAACAGAATGAAGCACAACCTGGTCCCCTGCATCCTCACCAACATTCCTATTCTTAAGTCCATTGCTGCAGCTACAGTGTCAATTCATCTCCTTGAGTGCCTTCCTCTTATGTCGCCCCTTTACTTTCCTAAGCATTATGCCCTTCTCCAAGCACTAGTCTCTCCTTACAACATACCCAAAGTATGTAAGACAAAGCCTCGCCCCCCTTGCCTTTAAGGAGCACTCTGGCTGTACTTTTTCCAAGATAGATCAGTTTGTCCTTCCAGCAGTCCTGGGACTTTTGCGGGCATGATCGTCGAGGGCAGCGCTTCCTTCTGTTGCACCTGGAGTCGCTGAGTCAAAACTGACTTGAAGGAACCCAACATCACAACAGCAAATTTCTGGTAATGTCCCCAGAGTTTTAACTGGTATCCAAGATTTTTAAAACCTCTCACCAAAGTATTCTATTGGTGAATAGGAGAGGGAATATAAAAGAAGTCTGATGATTCTTTGAACTAATCCTGTTGCTTTTAGTCCGACTTCATAATACTGCTATTAGTAACCGGGTGTACCAATTCTCGATCCTTTCAGAGATTTGAGGGTACAAAATAGGTTGCTTCTTTAGGGCTGTCGCTCTGGAGGTTTAGAACAAAACTTTCTTTGCTCTAAGTCACTCATTTATTATTTGTTTTCCATCTTCCAAAGCTGTGTTTTGTTCCCTGTGGGGGGATGGAATAGGTGGGTATATTCCTATTTTTATTCCTTTATTGCCTTCCCAGTATGACTGTAGAAGGGAGCAGAGCTAAACATGCAAACTGGCTCATTTAAATATTTTTGTGTGGATATTATATTAACAAAAAATGGGATTACTAGGTTGTATAAGTAGTATCAAGATAAAACCAATCTCTGGAAAAGGACATCATATTTGGAAAAGCAGAGGGTGTCAAATGGTTCCCAACAATGGACTCATATCCATCTAGCAATAGTTGTGAGGATGGCACAGGACATGGCAAGGTTTCTGACATAGGCAGGGCCACTATAACTTGGTGGCGGCAACAACAACACAACATAGGGCTTAATCAAATGGTCTCCAAAGAGGCTGTGCCATTTTGCATTCCCACTAATATTGTATGAGAAGAGTTACTGATGCTTTGTATCTTTACTAGCACTTAACATTATCAGCATTTTTGTTAGCTATTCTATTAAGTGTGTAATACCTAATTAATAATACAAAAATACAGATAGAAAATTTATAAGTATACCCAGAATATATCTTTCTCAGAGTTGAGTTTACCTATAACTCTGTAGTAAATGTTTTTCTGAAGAAAGATTTCACAACTTGGATACACAAGAAAGGTAAAAAGTTTTAAAAATCCCCAGTCTTTTCCCCAAATCTCCCTTTATTAGTTAAAATAAATAATTAAATCACTTAAATGATTATGACATGAATTTATTCAATGCTAAAAAACTTAAAATTAAGACTAATAAAGACTATTCAGTAAAAAAGAAAACAAAGATCTTACGCATGACAAGCACATTTCATAATGGTTTCGCTAGAACTGAGGCAGAGGGAAAATCCAGTTTTAGCTGGGGCTAACATTTGCGTCTGAAGTAATAGTTTTCTATATATGACGATCAATATCATCAAACCCAAAAACTCTATCTCTAATTCATACACAATTTAAATTCATTCACTGTGGAATAAGCCAAAAAAAAAAAAAAAGTGGGTTGCTATAAAATGACAGCAATCAATTCTGTAACATGGAAACAAATGGGAGAGTAAGATTTCCATCAATAAGCCATGTTCTTTTTTCAACATTTCATTTAAACTACGTCATGGATTTGTTTTTCCTACCTTTTCCAGTTCCTTCCAATCATAGTTTGTATTCCCAATCACCATTGCTTGTAGCTCATTAGGTTGAAAGAGCTGAAGGACTTTTCCACCACAGACCTTATGAAAGCCCGCATAAAAGGCATCAAATAGGGAAGCCACTGATTTATTAAATATGTAATCCACGTAAGCATCAACAAACTCCTGCCTAGAAATAAAAAACAAACACACATGTAGATTATAAAAATCTTTTTAATGGAGAGTAGTCTTTTATTAAAGCTTTGAATGCACTGTATTTTGTTTGTGTTTTTAAAACTTAGCTATAAAACTGAGAATGTATACGAGCCCCCCAAATAAACGTGTAATATTTTTTTCAAAGCTATGTATTTAAATTCCTTTACAAAATGTTATAACCCTCAAAGTACTCTCCATTCCACTCAATACATTTATCAAATCTACGATTCCATTCTTGGAAACACTTTTCAAACTCATCTGTTTGGATGGCTGATAGCACCTCCCTCGTTTTTTTCTTCACCTCTTCTAAGTCCTCAAATCACTGTTCTTTCATGTCCTCTACATTCGTTGAAACAAAAAGAAGTTACATGGAGCGAGACCAGGTGAGTAAGAAAAAAGAGGCATGCCATTTTTGCCCAAAACAAAACAAAAACAACAACCTGTCATACCAAAATGGGTATGTGAGCAGATGCATTGTCTTAGTGGCAAAACCATTCTGTTGGCCACAAATCAGGTTGCTTGATTAACAGTCTGACCTGGTGGAACAAACTCTAAGTGCACTATCTCCCAACCCTGCCTCCCTCACAACACATCGGGTTTTTGTGGGTATGTAAAGGTGCAAAGAGTTTATAAAGAAACCTATTTTTCTTTCTACAAAAACTTGTATATCAGTGAGGCATATAAATTCATTTTGCTGTCATTGGTAGGCTACTCTTAACTGAACATTTCTATTGCTAGTTGGTGGACAGAGCAATCCAAATTATTTTCAAAATAATTTAAAAATATTTTCACAAACCATCCAAAATTTATATGCACTACCCCACAGGCATGCCTGAAAAGAGTGATCCGTTAAAATATAGTAAGTGATGAACAATCAAGAGCTTTGGAATCCAGACTATTTGATAAGACTTCAGAGGCTTTTATTTCCCCTTGGGTTTCCAAGAAACGGGACATTTATTTTTTATCTACTATCTGCTCAATCAGATGAATTCTTTTTTACCTACTATCTAGGTAAAAAAACACGAGAAGGTAAGCTAGAGGGCTTACCTTTCACCTTCTTGTTTCCCGAACAATAATAGATGATTCTACATATGGGAATACTAGTTAATTCACAAATCTAGAGATATTATTCCTACCAAGTTATAAAACAAAAAAGGCAAAATTGTTTTGTATAAACCTATTTTTTCTATAATGCTTTCATTATCTAATTAGGATTGGTAGTATATAAAAAAGTGTTAATTATTTGTACACTAGATAATCTGTGTGAAATAATATTATTGAGATTATCCCAACAAAAGAAACTCTAAACAGGAAAGAAAAACTTTCTAAAGTCTAAACTGTGTCAAAAACATATTCTGAGCCATTTTCCCTATCAAAATTTTGTCTAAAAATTCTATCACTTAAATAGCTTATTATTAATACAGTTTTAAATGCCTAATAATAATTATTATACCCAACACTTACTGAACATGTACAAGTGCTAGGTATTATTCTAAGCATCTTAAAATTACTATCTCACATAACCATTTAGGAGAAGTTATAACTGTTCTCCAGTTTTCAAGATAAGGTGACTGAGGTATAGTCAAGATCAACCAACTTACCTTAAAATTACATAACTCTGAAGTAGCAGAATCAGGATTAAAATCATTTGGATCAAGTCTCTGGCAAAAGCCACAAAGTTAGGTTGTCTAAAGAACTAGAAGAAAATAAAAGAGACGGTCTCTATCCTCTACCTGACCTCCTGCCATTCAAAGGCTAGTAAATATTTATTAGCTCTTTTGCTATTCGTTCTGCCATTTATCTTCATGTTTTGATTTTCAATTTTTATTATTATCCAACAAACTGAAATAGCTAAAGGAAAACGTAAAGTTTACCTTGTACTTAATTGTCCCACTCCCCATTCATTTCTCCATGCTCTCATATCTATAAAACAATCGTGGTTCTATTATCATCGTTATTATGACTACAAATATTCATAGCTAACCTCATTTTTACACTACTTTTCTTAAAGAGAACTTTTTATTTCTTCTAGTTTGCGGCTTTATCCCCAACTTCTCCAACAGAAATGTCAATGTCCTGTAGATTCACTCAAATATATTAGCATCACTTCCTTTAAATTTTTTCTTCTTCCTGGAGACAATCATTCTGGATCCCTTTGTTCTCTTGATCCAACCTGGATTGTTAGCTCTTCCTAAATCTAAACAGATGAGGTACCTGCAGAGGGAATTTCTCTTTGCCTCTCTCCTGTACTGGATTCTGCTTTTTGACTTTTGTTTCGGTTTTTGTTTTGATTTCTGTGTCTTCCTCATTCTTGTTTTAATTCCTTGTTTTGGTAGAGCTTACCCTCCAGTAACCTCCTGTGAAAAATATATCAGAAGTAAATTTTCTCGAGACTGTGCATGTATGGAAATGTTTTTATATATCCACATACTTGGATACTTTATGGATACAGAATTCTAAGTTAAGGTAGCTTTTCTCCCAGGATTTTTATCTTTTTGTTCCTTAAAAGTCTGGTGTTATTTTGAAACTTAATTGTTTGTAAATGACTTTCTTTTGGGGGGAAATTTCAGGATTTGTTTCTGGGATTTTAAAACTTCATGTACCTTCCCTAGCAGCTCTGGGTGGTCCAGTTGATGAAAGGCTGGAGAGGAATCCACCTAGAGCTGCCTTGGACGATCTGCTACTTGAAAAAAAGAACAATCTACCTCCCCAAATGAGCTACTGAAAACTATGGAACTCAGTTCTAATCGGACACGAGATCACCAACACTTGAAGTTGATTTGATACAGCAACTGGCTAACTGGCACCTAGGAATGGTTCTGTTTTCAGTCTTCCACAGGCTCTATCTTAAAAGACACTTCATTAATTTTGGGAAGTTTTCTTATACCATTTCTTTAGTAAATTTCCAGTATGTTCTGTAAAATCTTCACCCTCAATGTTTTCAAAGTATCTACCTGGATATTACTCTTAACACTTTGAGGACAGTAATTTATTTCTTTGGTTTATTCTGGTTCGCCTCTGGTTCCTTGACATTTTTAATCATTGGTTTGGTTTGCTTTTTCTTAAATAGCTATTGACCTTTGGCTATCCTTTCACATTTAAGTTAATCAGTTCCTCCAGAGAAGCAGCCTTCAATTTACAGGGTCAAAGAGAAGGGAACTACGGACTTGTGCTTAGTTCTGTAGTTTTACATTCAGGGCCTTCCCCATGGCTGTGAAGTGAAGTATCCTCAAGTCTACACTCCCTTTAGTTCAATCTTTCTGAATGGAAGCTTCTAATCTTTTGTCCAGGCTGGAGAAAGGCAGTTGCCAGACTATTGATATTCTAAGGGACAAAGATTTCTGCTTCTTTTAAGAGCCAATTTTCCTGTTTTCAGCATTGGCCAACCCTACACACTTTCCAATGGATTCTGTTGTTTCCATGCCTGTGCTTTTGTTCTGCAATATGAACCTGCTGACTTTGTGGCTTCACAGTCCATTGCATGTTGCAGCTTTCTGAATGCTTAAAGCTACTCACCACTGTCTGGCCTCAAAAAGTGTTGCTTTTGGGTCCTCCTTCTTCTCTTTGTCATCATTGTGATTTTTAAAAAATTCCTTTACTTCACACTAATGCTTTAAAGGAACCTCAGAAGTAAAAGACAGATTACTTCCTCGATAACTATTCAAAGACTGAGTTTAGAAGAGTTATAATTTAAGGCTGTGACATGTTTCTAAGTATTCTGGAGTGAAGGAAAGTTACTCAATCTTAAAACTTGCATTAAAGGTGCTACCACTCACTTACCGATTTTGTTTGTTAACAGCTGTGTCTGCACCGTTTAGAACCAGCTCTTTCACTTCTGTTGCACCGAAATTTTCAACTGTGATCTATTAATTTAAATTTTATAAAATCAAGGTCAGATTCAAAACTTTAATAATCTATTAATATATTCTAGCATTATTTTACTAAATGTTATGTAGTAGTACATTTGAGGTAAATTTCTGTAACCTTATTTAATTCTCCATAAAGTGAAGACTAAAAATTTTCATCCTTTCTAGTAGTTTGAAATTTTACCCTGACTAATTACAAATTGCCAAATGTTTAAGTTAATTAGGAACAGGAAAGTGCTTTTTGTATATAACATATTAGAACAATTACTTCAAGAAAAAGCATTAATCAGAAAGAACGTTTTCCTTGGATATGCAACAGAATCAAAGTGTAAGTATGTAATCAGCTTAAAACATATACCTTTTTCCACATTATAATTACTACTTCTGTATTGGTTATGTCTGTCGATTATTCTCACTTTGTGTTTTCCTTACCAGTTTGGCTAATTCCTCCAAATAATATCATTCCAACCTCTGCATCTTTTTTTTTAGTTCCCCTATTTTTGGATTATCTTTTATTTTTCGTATCTGCTAACATGTAGTGAGATAACAGGAAGTGGGAAATATATTCCTGTTCTGGAGTTAACTAGCTAGCAAAAGAGAGGAAATATGATACGGCAACAATTCACTATAGTAAAATCATGTTATAATAAACAAACACAATGTTATATTATGATAAAGAAAACTTAATTCTAAATTAAATCTAGGGAAGTATGAAAGACCAAGGAGGAAATGCCATCTGAGAAACACCTAGAATGATGGCTTAGCATTCTGAGTGACTGGGAGTGGGTGGAATCTTAGACTGAGCACATAGACGCAACAAAAGAATAGACACAAGGAGAAACACAGAGCTATGAAAACTTATTATAGTATATTCCTTAGAAACAATGAAGAAAATATATATTAAGGAATGCTGTTTGATACAATAAATCTGGGGATGAAAGAAGAAACACAAGGGAAATCAAAAGAAAACCAGACTACAAATATTGCTGAAGCCCATTTGAAATTTATTATTTTGCAAAGAAAATTAAGCCAAATCCACTGCCATTAGGTTGATTCCAACTCACAGCAACCCTAAGGGGCAGAGCAGAACTGCTCAGTAGGGGTTCTCAGACTGTCAATCACTACAGGATCTTTCTCCCTGAGACCGCAGCCCCGATTAACTAACTCAGTGTCTCACACCAAGGCTCCTAAACAAGAAAGAACCACTAAAAATTTCAAAGAAAGAAATGGCAGGGTGAGACAATGTTTGACTTAAAGTTCTTAAGCATATGTAAGAGTTTACACACTTAAATTAAAAATTATTTTACTCAGATCTCAATCAAGGGGATCAATAAAGAGTCAAGGACAATTATTATGGAAAAAGATGAATTAATTGAAGAGGAACCAAAATTTCATAGTAAATACAAAAAGTCCAATAGAAAAGGAACAGTAAAATTACACTGATTCACTTTATCTTAAATTGGTAAATTTTGCTGTATCTGCACTATGTACCTTTTTTTTTTAAAGGATCAAGCAATAGTCAAACTCCTTTTGTTGGGGAGGACATGTAATTTTTCCAGCCAATTATCTGACAGCAGAGTAGTGTATCTTTGGTCAGCTTTGATTTTGACCACAAGGTTATAACATGGGTTATTTGGGAGGAAAATAAACAAAAAAAGGGAAAAAAGAGTAGGTTCTATCATTTCTCCTAAAGTCTCATTCACAGCATTTAAATCACTCGTAATTTTTGCAACTTTTCTCTAATTGACAAGTAGTCTAATTTGGCCAGACCATCATTCCTTGGTGACTTTGCATGTGACTTGGTCAGTTATTCAATATCCCTTTCACAAATCTGACACAAGTTTACATCTTTTACAAGATTTGCAATTTTATTTTCAAAATAGTATTGCATACAATGGTATTGTTATTACTATGCATTTGTATTATGATATGTCATCTAAAGGCAGGATGGACAGATGCTACTCTGAAGCAGTAATATTCTTATGAAAATCTTATCTAAGAATTCCTTTAATTGCAGACTAAAACATTTTTTAAAAAATGAACACTTGGAAAGAGGATGCCTTGAATTTATAAAAATCTTCATATTCCGATCCAGCACACAGGCTTTGAATTCACAGTATGAATACTGCTTCTGACATGTAAGGATTGTTTTCAGTTTTCTTCATCTGTAAAATGGGGATCCTATTTTGCTTATAAACATGTATTTCCCATTTACTCTTTGATAAAATCCTTTTTGTTACTTTGTACCTTTAAACTTCTTTCAGAATACAGATGTGCAATAATAGAACACTTACAATTTTGGGGGCTGTAATGAGTTAATTAAAATAAAGCATGCATCATGGCTAAACCAAAAACCTAAATACATAGCCACTGAGTGTATTCTGACTCATAGTCATCCTACAGGACAGAGTAGAAACTGCCCAATAGGGCTTCTAAGACTGCAATCCTTACTAAAGTGACCTAACTTCTTTCTCCTCTGGAGTAGTTGGTGGGTTCAAAACTATGACCTGAAGCTAGCAGCCAAATGCTTAACCACTGCACAATCAGGGATATTTCTGTATCAGGCCTGCACATGTTAAATGTTCAATCTATGTAAGCTAAAGAATTCTCTAAAATTATAACTATCAAAATAAAGAAAACAAAACAAAAGGTATAGTTGTTAAACAAAAGGGATGATGAATAATCAGGCCAACCTATGTCTTTTCATCTTACCGTAAAATTAAGACAAAATGTTTCCTCTATATCATCTTCTGGATAATCCAGTAATTGCTGCATGCTTCTGCAAAACAATGTATATGTTTCGTTGAGGTACAACATTATTGGATACATTTTTACTATTTTGTTTATAAACATATATTTTCTATTTACTCTTTGATAAAATCCTTTTTGTTACTTTGTACCTTTAAACTTTGTTCAGAATGCTGATGTGCAATAATAGGACACACCATTTTGGGGGGCAAAGGGAAGATACTATTTAGGTTTTTATCTCTCCTGAATACAATGATTATGTATCTTGTTACCTATTTTCAACATTTCTTGTATTTAAATACAATTTTCTTTTCATTTTGTGTAATCGATAAAAAGGGAATTTTATACATTTTTGCACTGAATGAACTAGATCAGAAATAAAAGTCCAAATGAATCATTATACTATCCATAAGAAAACATGATCTGTTATTCATTATCTGTTATAAAGCACTCAAATAATTCATAAAGTATTAAATTTAACAAATAGTTCAATATACTTTCAAAAGAAAATTTTAATCTGAGTAATCAATAAAGAATTTTTTTTTGAACTGGAAATTGAACAAGACTACAATATTCCTAGAAGGCTACAATTATTCCTAGAAGGAAAATTCCCTGTATTTTAAACACCATCCTGGTCACATTTTACAACTAACCTCCCAACATCAGGTACTAGTTCTTTCAAATCATCCAAGGATGGCTTCTTTGTTAGTAGTTTCTTATATAAGGCCAAAGGAAAATGGAGGTCCACAATAGTAAAGTTATAGATGGCTAATCCACAGATGACACCAATCAAGTGGAACAAATCACTGTCTTCAAATGTCTAAAAACATTAAAAGGGGGGGTGGGGTGGGTTAAAAACAAAGTTCTCTCAGTTAAGACATTAAAAACTATTTTTCTGATTAGATATACTTTTAACAAAAATTTAAAGATACAGAAAAGTAATGCAACAAAAGGAAAAATGTTTGTATTCATTCCTCTCTCAAGAACAAGTGCAGAAACAGAAATGTATAGACTCTTTTTCTAAATTCATAACATTGGTAGTAATGATGGTATCATAAGGCAAGTCTGACTTTTGCCCTAACAAGTACATTAGGTAGCAATGAAATCATCAGAGTACTAACCCCATTGCTATGGAATCAAAAGGACTCAAAAGCTAACTTGAAGAGCTTCTACTGTATGAATATGGGAAACATGAATATTAGTGAGGATAATAATTTGACAACCATCAAATATGTTTAAAACTGTAACTGTATATTAATACTTCAAAGCAAAATAAAAAAGACAACCATTGCTAATTAAAAGTAGTAATTATAAAAGTGAGAGAATCCTTTCGCGTATGAATTACTGATATTCATGTGTACCACGGGAATCAATAGTGACCTTATAGGACAGAATACAACTGCCCAAAGAGAGTTCCAGAGACTTCAATCTTTACAGCAGCAGATCAAGTAATTCTCCCTCAGAACTATTATCGACATTTCAGTTAGGCGCTGTATGCTCAGCAACTAACAACATTAAAGAACTGAGTTTCCATAACTGGTAGCATCACACAAGTTAGCCAGCCTCCTGGAATGCATCAATCTATTAATTAATGTATTCAGGAATTTAGAACCCAACAGTAGCTAGCTATTCTATTAGTATTTCTTTTAACTCAAAGTTCTACAAATAGAAACAGCTTTTAATTTCAAGTATATTCCCTTAATTACGGGTAGAAAATATTTTATGTTAAGACTAGATAGTATTGAGGTAGCAGATGGACACTGGGCCTCCACTCAAGTACTCTCTCAATGCAAGAACACTTTGTTCTATTAAACTGGCATTCCATGATGCTCACCTTCCCGACACAATCACTGAAGACAAAGTGGGTGCATACGTGAATGTGGTGAAGAAAGCTGATGGTGCACGACTATCAAAAGATATAGCATCTAGGCTTGAAGGTAAACAAGCTGCCATCTAGCTCAGAAGCAACAAAGCCCACATGGAAGAA